CGGCTGCTGGCGGCCAAGGGCGAGGGGAGCAGGCCCAGGGGTTGGGGTCCATGGCTTGGCCATGAAAATAGCCAACAGCAAGTAAGGGACTAGCCGGGGGTCAGGGCCGAGACAGGGATGGGAGGCAGGGAGGACCCGGGAGGCAGGACGAGCCTCCACTTGCTGAGACCCTGGAGAGGGGGCGTCTGGCTGGCCCTGCACTTGGAGGGTCTCTGGTTCCTGCTGGGGCGCCTCCCTCCCGCTCCCGCCTCTTTACACGCCGGGTGCAGGGACCGGGAGCCCCCGAGCCTGTTCCCAGGCAGCGAACCGGCCGCGAGTCAGAAGAGGGCGGCTTGAGAGTGAGCCTCGATGCCACTCCATTTTCCTGGGAAATTTCTCTTCCTAACCTTGATTTTCCACTCAAGCCAAAGGTTATGCGAATACAAGTTCCAGTTTTGAGGGACATGAATGCTTCGGGAAGGATTCCGGGGGACAGGGAGGGGTGCGGGGCTGGCAAAGCCTGGAGCCCTGGCCCGGGGTCAGGACGAGTAGCCATGCCAACAAGATTGGCGTTCGGAGTGATGGGAGAATCGGGGTCTGGGCCGGCGGATGTGGGTGCGGGGCCGCGGCGGGGCGTGGTGGGACAGAGGGGGGCTCGCGCTGGTGTTCAGGACACTGAGGCCGGAGGCAAGATTAGGGGTTGCAGGGATCTGATGGACTCCAGGCTGCACCCTTCCCCGCGGGGCCTCAAGCACATCAGCTGTTGCTTGAACCCTGATTTCTCACCGGGACCCAGAAGGCCAGGGGGTTGCCCCCTGAGTGTGGCTGGGAGACTTGAGGTTCACGGGGTGTAGAAGTGATTTGTGAGCTGCCTGCCAAGCACATTCGGGGGACCCTCAGTGGTTAAGGGGACCACTGAGGTTGGGGTTTAGCTCCCACTGTTAGGACTGGTGAGGCTGGGGCTGGGGCTGGGGTTGTCAGTGGGGGAATTTAGTGGGACCAGGACTGGACCTTGGCCCAGGTCGGCTTTGGGGTCTCGGGGTTAAGTTAGGGGAGAGGGGGGAGTGTGTTGGGGCCTGGTTTGAAGGTTAGGTCTGGGGCTGGGTTTGGGGGAGTTGTGATTGGAGGTCACTGTGGACTTTAGGTTGTGGTAGTGCCTGGGCTTTAAGATTGGGGTCTACTTGGGGCTTAGGGTTGGGGTTTGTTGTAGCCTCTCATTCAGCCAACCTGCGAGGGGCTGGGCCGGCTTTCGTGTGCGTGTGTGAGGGGGAGGGTCAGAAGGACGGGACCGGCCTCAGCTCTGGGGTTTGGGCTCCGCACAGGATGACCC